AAGACCACTGCTTAGGAATTGAAGGTTAGAGTTGATAATGGGTCATGTTTGGTGAGAAGGACCTCATTAGTTGAATGACCAAATATAACCATCAACAACAGTAAGAGTGTAGGTGGTACAGAGACAACGCCTGCCTGCCTGCCAACCTTGCGTCTCGAGTTAGATTCCCCCATGAGACAATGTGAGAAGGGGTGTTTTCCAGTGTGACATTACCAAACACGGTTAGGTTTTCTCTGAGTAATGTGGCTTCCTCCTAACACTGGACCCCACGAGGATAACCATCACTGGACCTCTAATGAGACTAGTTATTAAAAAAAACTCCTTACAATTTCCAGAGATGAATAATTAATGAATCAAGCAAAGTTAATAATATATTCCAAAAATCAATAAATAGAATAATAACATCAACACATCCAAAACCACAATAACATCAATTACCTCCCAGAAAAACCTTAACATCACATCGTCAGCAAAAATGGAATATATATTTTTTTGTCTGATCGAGTGTCTGGGGAAATCAAGAAACGGCGTGCGACCAGTAAGCAGAAAATGGATCCCTGAAGGCGGTAACTGAAACAATTATTCTGGTCCACTCGCCCATACCACTACCCGGTGGCTCTTTACACGGTAATGTGTGTACCTAACAGGGTGACATTGGTTTCTATGTACACGTTAATACAGGCATCGGTGTACAGGAGTTTAGTACAGTATTTCGAGTTTCCATGGATAGGGAAATAACTAAAAGAATTTTGGGGTGAATTTCTTGCTTAGAATTTCCTCAAAATCCTGTAAAAATAATGACAAATATTCTGCCCACCCCAATGCTGTATATATATATTCATTCAAAGTTAAAAATTACAAAAACCAGGTATAATTCATGTTCTTTTAGTCAACGTTGTAATATTAGTAATCTTTCTAAGTTTAAGTGAGCATCTCTGTTTAAGTTTTCCTTTTTGTTTCGTTGTCCTGAACTTATTGTCTTGTCTTCCTGAATTATCTCAAAAATACTCCCCCACGCATCTGGCCCGATCACTCCACGGAATCTTCAATGCACCCCCACCCTTCCCTCCCCCCTCGTCTAACACACGAAACTCTCCCCCACACACCACAGCTTATGACCAATTCTTAGTCACCCCCTTGTTAACGTCCAGGTAGTTTCAAATTATTATCGGTCCTGCAGAATATTCTCGGACTCGCTCATCCGGTGTTTGCTCTGTCCACCACTGGCTATGAGGAAGAGCACGATAAGGGCCTCTGGTGGTGCAGTTACAGACCTCCCTCGTTATTTCACATGGAGGGAGAGTACAGTATATAGTTATGCTCACTGAAGACAACATATCATAAGGTTTAGCTGCAGGTTAAGTAGGCTTTATCCCAAGACTCCGATCCTAATACACCCCCCTCCAATTAACCTTACTGGAACCCTTACGACTAGGAAACCTTTATGAAATAGGAACCCATTAGAAAGTAACTTCAATCCTAATGGTTGGTTATAATAGGGGAGGTCATATCAGAACGACCTCAACTTACCCACTCACGTCACAATGATTCATCTTACATGGAATAATACTCTAGTCTATAACGTTATGTGGTGATGATGACAAGATGATGATTGTGATGATGATGATGATGGTGATGATGGTTATAGTGTTGATGATGAAAGTGATGATGATACCGATAATGATAATACCCAAGTAAACCTTAAGTCAATTACCTGGAGAAATATATAAACGACACCATCGCCGCCAACACACAACCATTAATTAGGCAAATGGTTATTGGAATGCCTCCGGTTACACCATTTTACTACATCACATTCTGGTAACAAGCCGCGTCACTCAGCGTAAAAGAGCAATAAATGTATAAAAAAAAGTTCCCACTATAACAACACAATGGCTGTTATATTTCCAGCTGGCGGACTTTTATAACCCGGCTTTTACACGAGGTCGTTAAGTTATCCTTGTGGGAGACGATTACCTGGTTCACAGTAACTCCCACAATCCCTTAGTACTGACATCTCTCTTACAGCCCATAATCCCTAACTAATAATAACTCTTACACACCACAATCCCTGTAGGCGGGTCGGGGAAAAGTGTCTCTCAGTCAGTCAAGTCAGTCAGTCAAGACCGTTCATTAAGCTGACTAATGCGGCGAACCATGACGAACCATTAGAGCCAGATCATATCCACACGTCTTTTAAATATTTCTAAGATTATAATATCCTCGTGACAGGGGGTGCACCTGAGGCCAGTTCTGGTGTCATTATTTTAAACTTCCAACTTTGTGTCGTAGCTTCAGTACACCAGTTAGAAGCGTTTTCAACATCCCGAATTCAAGGGCAACATATTGTATAAACCTCTGAGAATACATCTTTGTGTTGTAGTTGGTGTCAAGTACGTTCTCCTATCCCTAAAATAATGGACAAATTAGAATAAGGACTTGTGAATACGGGTTCTGATCGATACAATAATAATAATAATAATAACAATAATAATAATAATAATAATAATAATAATAATAATAATAATAATAATAATAATAATAATAATAATAATAATAATAATAATAATAATAATAATAACAATAATAATAATAATAATAATAATAATAATAATAATAATAATAATAATAATAATAATAATAATAATAATGACTTCTTACCTCCGCCGTTGGGGTCATTATTGTTGCCATTAGAGTTGATAGGTCGACCATGAATGCAAGTGTTGAGTCGCGGGGGCGGGGGCGGGGGAGGTCTGGAGGGAACCGCCGGTGGGTTAGTCTCCTCATCGCGCACACCCCCTCCGTCTGTGTTCCCCGCCGGCCCGATGGGCATTCCGTGTTTATTATCTATGTTCGTTACCCATTGTTTTTCACGCCTGTTTTCTATTTACAACCTGAAAAGGAGAAATATGTTTATTATCATCACAATCTATCTGTTTAATAATAACATAATCACTGTAGATCGAAAATATAGGTGAAGTTTTAAAACATATATACTGTACGTCAGTGATTCATATTAGTATTTAACGAGGCGACAACCCAAACACCGAGGATAATATGATATATTGTTATCTTGACACTTCTCATTCATTGAGGATCCCTAGTGAGGTCATACACTAGGAGATAACGTGCACCCAGGGTCGGTAATATAACCCTGGGTGGGGCGCGCACCCGGCTGTATTTGACAAAGAAAAAATATATAAACAAGAAACTATTTTTAAAGTAACAAGATATCAAATGGACTGAAACATATTAATGATTTCTACTGTTGATCTGATCATGATATACATCACTACTAAACTCTGGCTCACAGCTGTACCGTATATATATATATATGCATCCCGGGGAGTGACACAACCTCGAGGAGAGAAAATGTGTTCTAGAATAAATGACAAGTAACCGTCCAGGACTCACACAGGGACCAGAACGGCGAGCTTGGAAAAGGAGTCACGCGCGCCTCCCTCCTTCCACGTCAGGCCGGTAACCCACTATCACCTCCAGTCCTGAGTCTAAACTGTTCGTAGCATAAATATCACTCGTAACTAAAGGTCTAATAATGCACCTAACTGGCAAACTTAAGCTAAAACACAAACGCCTATAAATACAGCCACAAATTATAAATAAAACTCTGCCTTAACTGGACAAGTTCACTTCGAACCTTAAATATTGAGTTGTAACTAATACTAAGTGAACATAACGCACCCAAAGTAACATGTTAATTATGGGCATTATTTGTTATCATATTTTAAATCAGCCAATAACTAGTACTAATCATCCTATGAACCTATTATTTTTTGTAATCTGGTGTCGTATCTGAAGGTCTGAATATTACCGGTATCATCAACGTAAGCGGTGTCAAGTTCCTCGGTATCAAACTCTTACTTCCTTATCACTAGATGGTGATGATGATCTGGTAACGTACAGGGGTTAAAAAGAATTATTATATCTGTGTTTCTGCACTGTCCGTAATTCCAGAAATGTATAGGAGAAAACATGTAAAAAAAAAAATCCCTCACGCAGAACAAAACTATCGGTCTATCAGTCTGTCAGAAACGGTGGACAATATACCCGCCTTGACACCCATACATCATAGTAGGTAGGACAACTACCCCCCATTGCCCGACCTGACCTGACTTAATGCGTTTATTTTAACCTACCAGTTTAGGGATTATCCTTACCTGACCTGACGTACTTTGGTAAAACCTGCCAGTTTGGGGAGTAGCAATGACCAGTCTGAGTTCAGTGCTTGAGCTGTTCACAGTGCACCTATAATTCTCCAGGTATATTATTACTTTTCGCATCACCTTATCACGGAGTTCATCCAAAGTGAACGTGATAAAACGAAGCTTATTTATGATGGCTACATCTATGTGAAGCAGAAAGTACTGGCAAATGGTGTTATATCTTATGAATTTGAGAAACGTCGGCATAGCAACTGTAAAGCCAAAGTTAAAAATTGTGGAAATGAAGTAGTTGGCCATGTAAATGACCACAGAAGTACTGTCTGTCAGGCAGGAAATCAAGAAGAAAGCTATAACACCCAAGAAACCGCGCAGCAAATTATTACCAAAACAGTTTAGACCCTCAGAAGGTGCCTGAACACAACCACCACCTGTAAGACATATTCGACGTGCAATAAGACGCTACAAACAAGCTGTCGATGCCCCTCATCCCATTCCATCAAACCTCGCTGACTTGGTCATTCCATCTGAGTATATAAGATGACAGCTGATGGTGAAGATTATCTGTTGTATGATAGTGGACCGAGTGATCATTCTATGCTCGTGTTTTCCACAGCTAAAAACCTGAGGCTACTGGAGAATTGAACTGATTGGTTTGTTGATGGAACATTTAAAGTTGTACCTCAACTGTTTTACCGACTGGACACTATTCATTCTCTGGCTTCAAAAAGAGTTAGTCCTTGTGTTTATGATCTGCTACCAAACAAACACCAAGCAACATATCAAGACCTTCTCCATCAACTCCTCACCATCAACCCTATGCTCAATCCAAAGACCTTTCTCATCGACTATGAACAAGCTGCCAGGAGTGCCATTGAAGAGGTCTTCGCCAACGCAACAGTCAAGGGATGTTTCTACCACGTATTGCAAAACACATATCGCAAGGTGCAATGTGAGGGATTACAAGGAAAATATCAAACTGATGCTGACTTTGCCCTGAAAATTCGAATGCTACCAGCTCTGGCATTCATCCCACAAGGTGAAGTGGCTGACACATTTGAGACACTGCAAGAGACTATGCCACCTGAAGCTGATCCTGCCATAGACTACTTCGAATATATTGTACATACACTGGCAGACAACGTCGACATAATAGGCGAGCTCCACGTTTCCCTGTCAGCATGTGGAATATTTACGATCGTGTAGCCGAAGATTTACCTCGCACCAACAACTCCTTGAAGGATGGCATAACTATATGCTAGCTAACATTACTTCATTCCATCCAAATATCTGGAAATTTCTTGGTGTTGAAGAGGGAACAGGCAGTAGCCAACATCACCATCAACCAGATTATTGCATGTGATCCGGCACCACCTAAGAGGAAACGTTATCAAGATTCAACAGTCACAATAGCAACCATCGTACATGACTTCGAGAACCGCCATGTGTTGAACTTTTTGAGAGGGGTAGCTCACAACTTGCAATTTTACTATTTTAGTGTGATTTATGTCAGTCAATTTTTAAATATTAAATATGACTGATCCACCATTTTTCACCCAACCACAATTTTTTAACAATGTTTTTTCTAGTTACAGAATTGTAGTTACCAAAAAAAATTGTTTAAGTTGTTGCATTTTGTGTATATAATTATTAGTTATTACTACAAATAAAACATGAAAATAAAGCATTAATTCATTGTGTTACTTTCTCCTCTCTATTCAGAAAGTTCCATGCTTTGTGCTAATTATTCACTGCCAATGGGGGGCAATTGTTCTATGGGGGTAGTTGTCCTAGAACCATCATAGTAAAGTTTCCTTGAGTTACCGCTGCCATGCCATACCATACAGCCCCGTTTTCTTTGAAGCTTTGGTACCGAGAGAGATGCAAATAACCTACAGTAATACTCTATATTCGATTCACCATCAACTTATAATATACTTAGGTTCAATGTATCTAAAATCACACGCTGTTTGTTGCGCTTAAATGTTCTGGTTTATATATCTTGTCAACCAAAGAGCTTCAGACAGTTTAAATGTCTTTTATATTTGTATGTGAAAATTTGCAAGTGTTTATGGTCAGTCAACTTATGTATCTTTTTTTCAATCTAAATGTTATTTATTCTGGCATTATGGAATTAACTATAACATAAGGTAAAAGTTGAGTAATATAATACTAGTGAGTGTGACCCTACCAAACATCACAAGTTTCCCGGATCCTTGTTTCCTCCTGCACTAACACTGGACAGACCAACCACCTGAACGACTAGGGAGCTTATAAGTGGCGAAATGATTAAAAAAAATATGACCTGGGTAGATCTTCACTACAGGAGAATGAAGACTAACTCGCCGAATCGACTTCACACCTGGAGGAGCTGAGGTCATGTTCCTCTTTAGGGGAAGGAAATCAATACATCTGTGGCGAAGTCAGTGAACCAGCCTGGCTATATGCTACAGAATTACATCAATTATACGTAACTGGTTAATTAATAAACTTACAGGGATAATAGGACCGAGGGAATTATTCTATCGGTTTGATGATACACTCTCGGTACAGTAAATAGTTGTCTGTGTGTGTGTTTGGGTAGAGTATCCAGGGTGTAATTTACCAATGTGTAGTTGGGTGATGGAATTCCATGGCATGTGTTGCAGTGGAGTGGATATTGTTATTGTAAGAGATGATTGATTGGATAAATTCATTGTATGTCAAAAAATATTGTTGTGTTTATTTAGAAGCCATCACAAGAATCAAGTTATTTATTTACATTCACTAAGTCAGTCTCTACTGATGAACAACTATAAGTAATTAAGAAACTACACAGAAACAAAGTGAAAAACAACTGACCCTTGTTATTTTTTTTGGGCATATAACTACACAATAAATATCTCACATACACAGACACAAAAACGTTCCCCCCAAAAAGATAAAAATAAAATAATTCTATAATCTAGTGTGAACTTTGAACCCCCAGTGAACCTTCCTCTCACCCACCCCTCTGCCAGCTTCATTATTGACTGGTTCAAACTGCACTTCGCCGAGGTTCGGGTATAAATTGGTTGACAGGTTGAATAAAAATAATAAATGAATAAATAAAACACGATTTACATCCCCGGAGACTATAAGAACAAAAGGTGATCGTTCAGTCCTGGTTCATATATAATGGACCAGTACCAACAATTATGAAATATTTCTATTATGTTAGGAAATATAATTAACGCTCTTGGCATTCATCATCATCGTTACTCTGATAGTTGTTGATTCGTGTTTATCATTTCTTCCTTCTTCACGTGTTTTAATTAATACTCAGCATTGATATAGGTCTCTAACGGACCAATCATGTCTGTGGGATCCTCATTCCTTATCAAATTAAAGATGGACTTATAAAAACACAATTATTATCAGCAGGGGAAAAAACATTATAACACGAAACCATTTTCCTAAATATAAATACATAATATATAAACCATTTTATTTTCTCACGCCAAGTTGTATTATAATCCCTTAAAACAATAATATTTTCACGGTATTCATATAAAAATATTTAAAACTCACTATAGTGTTGAATTTAGCACCACCGATATATTAGAAATTCACAGAAACAGAAGATATTTATTATGAATTCTAAAAAGTATTCTACTATCGATACGTAAACACCCAGTAGGCAACAGCTGACGCACCAACATAAACAATACGTCATCAGACACTATTTCCAAACTTTGTATAATCGTTAACTTTGACCAACGAATTACAGTTGTATAAGTCATAATAATAAAAAATCAAGACGCTATTGTTCAGGACGCCATATGAATATTTCCACGCAGTATTTCCTCTCTCTGGTATTTCTAAAGCTGCACTGTGCTGGAAGGCATCACCCGACAAATTTATAATCCGCGAGAAACTACATTCACAGCGGGATATTTCAACGCATTGCTATAAATTAATATCACCATTTTATACGAATTCTCTTGAACACAAAAAAAGGATATATCTTCATTATTCTTGTATATACGAATATTATCAACATGAAGGTGTGACATGGGTAATACCAGTAAATGTTTGTGTGTTTAAATGGTGACACACACACACACACACACACACACACACACACCAAACGTAAACACACACATTTACCAGCGTCAGGACTGCATACATTACATTACCAGCTACGGTATTATCAACAGCTTGCACTAAACACACGATAACAAACACTCGCATAACCACACGGACACAAGCCAAACAAACATTCATAGGCACATACACATTTCCAGGTCAGACCAATTACCTACATCAGCTATACTGCAAGGAACACACACACACACACACACACACACACACACACACACACACACACACACACACACATTTAACATTATTTCAAATAGAGAAAAATAAGGAATAAATATGCTGAGAGGTGACTGGTGATGCAGAGAGATGACTACTGATGGTGGAGGTGACTGGTGACAGTAGGAGGTGACTGGTGATGGTGGGAGGTGACTGGTGATGGTGGAGGACTGGATGGTGGGAGGTGACTGTGATGGTGATGGTGGGAGGTGACTGGTGATGCAGAGAGATGACCAGTGATGGTGGGAGGTGATGGGATGGGAGGTGACTGGTGATGGTGGGAGGTGACTGGTGATGCAGAGAGATGACCAGTGATGGTGGGATGGTGGAGGTGACTGGTGATGGGAGATGACTGGTGATGGTGGAGGTGACTGGTGATGCAGAGATGACTAGGTGTGGTGATGGTGGGAGATGACTGGGAGGTGACTGGTGAGAGAGGTGATGGTGGGAGGTGGTGATGACTGATGGTGGGAGGTGACTGGTGATGGTGGGAGGTGACTGGTGATGCAGAGAGATGACTAGTGATGGTGAGGTGACTGGTGATGGTGGGAGATGACTGGTGATGGTGGGAGGTGACAGATGGTGGAGGTGACTGGTGGGAGGTGACTGGTGATGCAGAGAGATGACTAGCGATGGTGGGAGGTGACTGGTGATGGGGAGGTGACTAATGATGGTGGAGGTGACGTGATGCAGAGAGATGATGGTGGGAGGTGACTGGTGATGGTGGAGGTGACTGGGATGCAGAGAGATGACTAGTGATGGTTGGAGGTGACTGGTGATGGAGGTGACTGGTGATGCAGAGAGATGACTGGTGATGGTGGGAGGTGACTGGTGGGAGGTGACTGGTGATGCAGAGAGATGACTAGTGATGGTGGGAGGTGACTGGTGATGCAGAGAGATGACTAGTGATGGTGGAGGTGACTGGTGATGCAGAGGTGACTGGTGATGGGGAGGACTGGTGATGGTGGTAGGTGATGAGTGATGGTGGGAGGTGACTGGTGATGCAGAGATGACTAGTGATGGTGGAGGTGACTGGTGATGGTGGGAGGTGACTGATGATACAGAGATGACTAGTGATGGTGGGAGATGACTGTAATATTGAGAGATGACTGGTGATGGTGGGAGGTGACTGGTAATGCAGAGGTGACTGGTGATGGTGGGAGGTGACTGGTGATGCACAGAGATGACTGGTGATGCTGAGAGATGACTAGTGATGCTGAGAGATGGCTCGTGATGCTGAGAGATGACTGGTGATGCTGGGAGATGACTGGTGATGCTGGGAGATGACTGGTGATGGTGGGAGATGACTGGTAATGTTAAGAGATGACTGGTAATTTTGAGATATGACTGGTGATGCTGAGAGATGACTGGTGATGCTGAGAGATGACTGGTGATGCTGAGATGACTGGTGATGCTGAGAGATGACTGGTGATGCTGAGAGATGACTGGTGATGCTGGGAGGTGAGCAGAGCGGCCGTGTTACCGTATAACTCAAGGTCTCATCTCCACCGCTGGTCAGTAAACCCCGGGTACACGCGCCCCATAACCCCTCATTAATTTCCTTGGCTAAGAGCTGACGAACCAGGTATTGTCAACACTGCTCCCGGCCAGCCACACCATGTACAGGGGGCTGGGTAGGGCAGGGCTGGGAAGAGCTGGGCTGGGAAGGGAAGGACTGAACTGAGTAGAGCAGGGCTGGGAAGGGCTGGACTAGGCTGAGTATGGGGTGGGGTAGGGCTGGGCTGATTAAGTCGGGGTTGGGAAGGGCTGGCCTGGGTATGTTAGGCAGGAATGATTGCGGCTAGGCGAGTATGAGTAGGATTGTGCTAGGATGGGCTGAGTAGGTTTGAGCTAGGCTGGGCTGAGTA